CAGTCTCTCTTCTCCAATTGGTGCACGCAACAGTCACGTGACTCCGTCTCGCTTCCTGATTGGTCCTCCACCTTTCAGCAGGTAACCAGTTTGGAGGACCAGTGAACAAAACTCATCAGTGAACAAAATCTTAAAGTGTTAGATTATATGTAAATTTCACTGATGAATAAGAACTTGTGGAGACGAACATGCTAAAGTAATGCAACAACATTAAAAATGTAAATGTCCAAAGACTAAATATTTCCATATATGACAAGACACCAGCGTCATGCAAAGTGAGTGGTGCCGTTGCTGTGCAAGTCCTTTCTTGGTTCGTGGCGTCCTGTCGGCAGGGAGCGCGGTCAGGTGTTCCCTCTGCGGTGGGAAAAGCCGCCCTTCGCCACGGAAGGGCGAGAGCCAGAAGGTCGCCTTGCGCATATCACCCGAGCCGCCCGCGACCAGAGGAGCCGGCTCGGGGCCCTGACGGTGGCACGGCAGACCTCCAAGAGTGAAACAGGAACAGACTCACGCGAGGCCAGAAACAGAACCAAAGAATTACATTCCACGGGGCTGCTGTGATGACTCCTATGGGATCCTGTGGGAAGTAAGCTTAGCTGCAGCTCCGTGCCAGTTTTACTCGTCTAGTCCCGCCCTCTAGTCTAACGTGGGCAAATATCATCCCACTTCATAAGTGATATCCATTGTATATGTAGTCGTGATCTAGTCCAGTTACCCTTGGTGTATGTTGGCCCATCAGCCATTTCATGTGAATTGGTCAGGTGCCGACAGCAGGAACTGTTGCGGCTCGATGAGACCTCTCCGGGCCCTCCGGCCGCCTGCCGGACGCTCTCGCAGAGAGGAATGACGTCATGGCGTGTGTGACCCGACCGATAATCTTATCGTGGCGGCACTCCTGCGCCACGCTCACGCGGGCCTTCGCCGGGCCGGGAGTCGAAGCGCGAAGTCTTCGAGCGAAAGAACGACTGTACATAAAGCGCTCGCAGGTCCCCGCCAGGTCCCGGTCGCCGTGGAAAGGCTGGCCAGAACCCGGGTCCATGTAGACGAGCCAGTCGGGCCGACGGGTCCTCCGCGCCGCCCGAATTCAGAGAGCCTCGTCGCCGCCGCCCGACTCCTGTCGGCTGCGAGAGGAAGAGTCGAGCCCAGTATCTTAGAAATGTTTTTTAATCTTCCAGTACTTAAAGGGGGAGCTTTCTCCGGGTGCCCCCTCGAGCAAGTTGTAAATATGTGTAAATAATGAATTGATAATGACTAGGTGTAGAAGTTCGGACCCCGTTATTGTGATGAATTATACCATTGTCGGCTTTGTTTACACTGTACCTGTGACGTCACGCCGCCACATTCGAGACCTGACTCGGATGTGCTGTACCTAACCTCCTGTAAATCGTCCCTTGAATATTGTTTTTTTTTCTAGTCTGTGAAACCTTTTCTGTAAATCTGAAGAATTAAAGAGAAAAAAATAGGAATTCTGTTCAGAAGAAAAACACACCGAAAATCTTATAAACTGGCACATAAACTTCACACGAAAATCCTGACTCTTGAACCCCCTGTTTATATCCAACTTTTACGTAGATGCTTAAGAGAACACCTCAACAGTCCACATTCTCAAGTCACAAGTCTTCTATATTTTTAGGTGATCTTTCACGTCAAATCTCAGCAAGCTGCAGCGAAGCGAGAATACGGGACTGTTCAGCTGTGATCCTAACCTGGAAACTTGTTTGTCGATACTAGCCAAAGGATCCATTTCCAAAGATGTCATATTTTCATATTAAACCAGAGATTTTCCGAACAAGGGATGTCAAAGTCCTTTCCCCTGAAGATGCCGACGTTTATAATGTACAAACCTCTTATTTTATGTAGGTAGTTTCGCCTGTCAGTGTTCCCCATAGAGTGTGCTGGATATCGCTAATGATTTATTCATACATAATAAATTCTCATTTACATGGTGTTCATGCCCTTGTTGTGTTGAAATGAATGTTTACATAAAACGAAATAAAATGTACATATCCAACTACGGTCTTTTGTTTTCCTTACTCTAAGTTGGCTTTCTTTCTATTTATTTCTAAGAAAATGTAGAATGCCAAACCTCCTGGGTTAAGGATAATGTATAATCATTTGAGGGATTATTTAACTAATCTCGTTCCATAAATACCGAAGGAACGAAGTTTTATCCCATCAGTAGATTATTTCTATTACAAACTCTGTTTTCTCTAGACTCGAGTATTTGCACTTCGCCACCATTAATAACAGACATTTGATATATCTCGGGGCCTTTATCACAAAAGAAAACATTTTGACAGCATTGAAGATACTAGCGGAAGAGTCTGAGTGGGCTTCCAGTCACTTCAGGTAATATTGTGTCGGATTGTCTCTAAATGTGTCCCAGTTTTTGTTTTATACCATCTTAGTATCAAAATGATCGAAATATGGAAACGTTATTTCAAGTTATGATTTGCTTTCATAGATGAAACGATCTTTCCGAGTGACAAGAATGGATTGCTAGGTCAAGAACACGATTAAAACAAAACGAACTCTGGAGTGTTAAAGGAGACGTTTTAAAACATTAGGAGGAAGTAGAAGTTTCTTAAGCTCGAATCCGGCAATTCCCGAGATTTGACCTCCATTCGTCGCCGCGTAAGACGAGTAGGAAATTCCGCTGACACAGTCGAGAGGCGCCGCCCTCATGCTGGGACTTTATACTTTATTTTGAATGTTTATGAGGACTCTGGGGACCGTTCAATTTACATAAATGATGTTTACGCGTATTTATTGGTGATTATGGTTTCATCGTGATATTCATTCAGATGTAGTTTATTTGATTTTATTCTGTAAATACATACCCTTCCTCAGATCGTAAAAAAGGATAATTAAAACTAAAAAAAATACAAAAAATATAAAACACACCCGGTTGAAAATAAACCGTGGAAATTGTTCCCACAAACACTGCGTTACTTACACAGTCCCAGATCTGAGCTATGCAACTCGGTCTAAGAATACCTCCAAGATCTCCGCCAGCTCTCTATTGATCCAATGAGGGACGACCATTGCTCTCTTTCATACACGGTTTCCCATTGGTCAGTTTCGCCGTCTCGCAGCCAATCACCGGTGAGGGGAGGATAACATCCGACCAATAAGGAGGGGGCGTGCCGAGATCAATCTTCCAGTAAATGTGTCATTGATATTTACACTTCATGCGCCTCGTCTTGCCAATATGTATTTGTTAGAGCAAACATGAGTTTCCATAAGATGTGAAATGTGTTTTTTATTGTTCAAACATTTAATTGAATCTCCTCCGCCGAAGTGGGCTGACACTGAGCGAGATATGTGAAACAACAGCAGCGCAGGTCTACAACGAATCGGACGTAATCCACCGAGAGAATAAGATGTTGTCTTAACTATGTATGGAAATTAGCTCGCTCTGGTGTATCAATTAGGGCAGGGGAGTCCGCGTGCTGTTTGGTGAAAGGCTTGGAGCCCAGATTTCCATAACAATGCTCCATGTTTGATCTGTGGATTACAAGTTAGAGTTGAAACAATTAGAGACAGTCTTCCCCAGAGCGTGGCCAATGTTGTCTGAAAATTGGCGCTCTTTGTGGTAGGGAAAAAGACAAGGTTTTAGGTTGTTCGAGCCCTCGGTTGCTCAGAAGGGCTTTTTTGTTTTGGACATCAAGCCAAGGATGTGAAGGGGAGGGGAAAGTTTGAAATAAAAGAAAATCTCATCATCTCAGTTTTGACTTTGGAAATAAAAAGGGGATTCTTAAATGTTACTTTTTTCCTTCTTTTCTTTCCCTCTCTTTCAGAAGATAAAGTGACTCTTTGGAGAGAACGCGATCTCCATATTTCTCAGAAAAGTTTCATATTACGTACTTCAGCTCATCAGAAATGGCGTCACAGTGCGGTGAGAATAAGACACGGGGAATTTCATGTTTATGTTAATCAGTCCTATAAGATTAGAACACTTGTTTCTGTTTATGTTCACAAAGTACATTTTTATTTTTAACTGAACTCAAGATCCAGGAAAGGAAACCGAAACTTAAACACAACTCTGCGCACAAAGAGCGCGAGATTTCACTATTTCACATCTTTGTATGAAGTAGATAACCTTACTTGACTATCTTATACAATTTGATATATCAGAAGTATACTTATGAATGCAGTGTAATGCAACATTGAAGTAGAAAATCATTGATATATATCAAGTGTAACAAAGCTTACACACATCCTGTGAATTTAGTGGCTTATCAATTACGAAAGATTTACTGGGGCAAAATAATCTTCATTGACTGAATGTAGTATAAAAGTCGTTTTATTTTGTCATATGTTTCAATGGAGTATCGAAACGCAGCAAGAAATTTTCGTAAATTTATATGTTTAAGCTACTCATTATGTTTATAACACATCGTTTCACTATGCAACATGGAATAAACGTATATATATATATATATATATATATATATATATATATATATATATATATATATATATATATATATATATATATATATATATATATATATATATACATACATATATATATATATATATATATATATATATATATATATATATATATATATATATATATATATATATATATATATATACACATATATATATATATATATATATATATATATATATATATATATATATATATATATATATATATATATATATATATACACACACATATATATATATATATATATATATGTGTGTGTGTGTGTGTGTGTGTGTGTGTGTGTGTGTGTGTGTGTGTGTGTGTGTGTGTGTGTGTGTGTGCGAGTGTGTGTGTGTGTGTGTGTGTACGCACATATGTGTGTATGTATATGTATATATATTTATGTGTGTGTTGGTGCGTGTATGTGTGTGTGTGTGTGCATATATATATATATATATATATATATATATATATATATATATATATATATATATATATATATATATATATATATACACACACACACATATATATATATATATATATATATATATATATATAT